TTTTCTATATTGATACTAATTGATAATAATTTGAAAATAGATTAATTTAATCTGATCAAATCGAAGTGTAAAAAGCCCTAATTTTAATTGCCACTTCTTTGTATTTTTAAGCTTCTGTTTATACTTCTGTCTTTAAAGTAAAGAGTCTACACGCAGTTTTAAACTCTACCAAGCAACTGAAAGAGGGGCATTTCACTTACTGCATGTTTGTGTTTTGCTCAGGAGAAGCTCTCAACTCGTTCTTAATCAGGAAACATTTAAGCACCGTCTTTTTAATAGTAACCAGCTGACAATATTTATTACGATTTTATGTTCGTTGGGACACATTTTTTCAAACCAGCAAAATAATCTTTTGTGTGTTTTGCAGATGTGCTGACAGCGTGGAGAAATTGAATTAGCAGCTGCAGCGCCGGGAACATTGGATCATATTAGGAGCGCAGCAGAGGAGCAGAGGCTACCTGCAGGCCGGAGGGAGAGGCTTTATACTCCTCTGCTTTCATTCAGGGAGACGAACTGAGAGGAGACAACCCATCAGCAGTCCTACGACATAACAGACAACAGAATGACACAAAATAACAAAGACAAAAAAGTCTTCCTTCCGATTCAACAGTTAGTTTAAGTCACATTTGAGTCTTCTTTTGATTGTTGCCAAAACACCAGTATAAGCAGTATTTGTTTTTGTAACAAGAGCAATTTCAAACGCGGACACCTGACATTTCAGAGAAGGACCAAAATAGTCACGTTTCGATAATATTCCAATTATAGCGCTTAAAGATGATTGACATATCGAAGATATGATTTCCTTGCCATTGTAATTATTTGCGGCTTCAAGACGCTGCACAAATTAATTGAACATCTGCAAATGTGTTATCATGCAGCCAGTAAGGTCATACAGCCTAATGCCGCAGTTGGTCAGTAACTGGGGGAGGGAGACAGACTAGAGGGGAGTGGACACAGACTTCATCTTAATGCAGATAAGCGCGTCCACCTGTTGTCCGTCAGGTTGTAGGCCTACTGCTCTCAATGAATACATGTGGGCTAATTAAAATGCCTGAAAATGAGGGTTTCGGTAAATATCCCCGCTTCCTGTTCTGTAGCCTACAGGTAAGCGTTTTAGTAACTGACACGGATTAATGTTTCTCTTGAAGGATAAATATGGCGGGTGATACTGAAGCTGATCCAGAAAAATCCTGCTCATGTTCCTGATTCACATCTAATCAGCATCCAACCGGGCAGCAGCACACTAAGCTCAAAGTGCACATCCCTGGCTTTGTCTTTGACTGAATAGGTGACACACTGATGCTGAGTTTTAGTGGTAAGAAAGCTGCCTCTGTGCCAGCAGCACTCTAAATGTGGCCCCCCAGGGGCTATGGAGGTGCCTGTACAGGAGGCCAAAAGGTAAATTTCGGTATAATTTTTTCTGCCAGAAATGATCATGATGACAGAATAAAATCTGACAACTATCCACATTTTAGGTTTTAGATGGTTGTATAATTGAACGATAGTTGAAATATTAAAGTCTTCTTTTACCGTTAGCATTCGATCTACCTGCAGCCTAATGGGGGTTTTAGATTTAGATCTATGACATGGACCTAAAATGGCTTTAGGCCTTGTGGCAGTGTTTACCTTTTCTGGAGCAGCTGATAGCACCTTTAACCAGAGACAATGACTTATCATCCATTTCAGTGACTGCAGAACACCTGCTCTTTATGACATATCTCTCTGAAATTGATTGCCATTTTTGTAACCTATGTAGTTCTCAAGTAGTTATCCCCGGCTACTCAGAAAATGGAACATTTATTTATGTTTATTTTATTTATTTCATTCAAAATGAATCAGACTAGAGAAGTCATGATTACTCTAACCTTCTCACAACTCACCATGTCACCTAGTATGCCATGCAGACAGTTCAATATTAAAAATTAAACCTTTTCAGGACTAAATCTGATCAAATGTATTTGAGGTACAGGCCAGGCAAACCAACCCTCCTGCTCTCATTGTGTTTCTAAGCTGTCTTTCCTTTCACAGGGCACACTTGGCTGTGTTTAAGGTTTCAATGTAAAGATGGTGTGATGGTAAAACATGCAGTAACCGTCCAAGGTAAGTTCCACACACAGTGAGTGCTGAGCTGCAGAGAAAATTAATTATTCAAATTGTCTTGTATAGTGAGTTGTAAGAGTTTAGTTTTATAAAGTGTATTCTGGTCAATGGCCACTCTTCCATGTTGTTATTGTAGCTGCTGTACATAGTGGGATTTTTTTTGTTTGTGGAATATTTGAAACCAACATTACTAATTTTGGAATGCCATGAATTATGGTGTGTTTTAAATCACAATTTTTCCTACTCAAAATGAGAATATATACATTTAGTTCTCCCTTAAATATTGTATTTTTAATGGCCACCTCTCCTCCATGTAAAGACAGTTCTAAATCAATTTTCAAAATCATACAAATGAATTTTTCTGCACCCATGTTTGCATGTGTTCTCTCTCTCTGTGGATGCTGTTGAAGGTCACAACACAATTCTCTCTGTTTAGGCAAATTTCTAAAAGTGAATGAGTAAAAATTTGTGTACATTTCTAAGCTATTATAGCTATTATGTTTCAGCTCCCACAACCAACTGATTTTCCTATGTTGAGCAATCTGCACTAATATACACAATAAACTGTTTAAGTATATAGTATAATGGCACTCTGTAGTCTATTTTAAAAAGAAAATAACATTTAGCTGATTTCTGAATTGCATGATTTCTGATAACTGGCCTCTAGCATGATTCTTATGTTTAAAGCTACATGGCAAATTAATCCATAATTACATGTCATGTTAAATAAATAGGGACATCTGTACATACAAAGTGTTGTTTTAATTTTAATTTTATTTTAAACAGTCTTCACAGTGGGTGAGCACAGCCCAGAGTTGTCACCAGTCATAACCAAAAGTAGCAATTTGCTACAAGTGATGTTCCTGCTAATTTGCATTGGGATGTATTTACCTCAGTACTGCTGGTCTCAGCAGAAACAAGAGTGGTCATGTTGTAAATGGGGGCCACTGAGATCTCACAGTTTGGATAAGATTAGCTAGCAGCACAATTATATGCTTCAGCACTTAGAAAACAACATATGAATGTGTTCCCTCAGGTCCAAAAGCACGGGGAGATCTTTCTGCTGGTTTCTTTTAGGAAATGAAGCTAGCAGGGGGTCTGGAAAGTTCTGTCTAGTTAAGTCAGTAAATTATTAAACAATGGAGGATGATGGACTGTGTACACTTCAAACTAAATTTTGTTAATTTTGTTAATGATAACTCAAGTTTCTTTCTAATATACAGTCCTAATCAAACACAGGGTTCATTAAAATCATGTAGGCTACCAGTGTTCTTACTGTACACTGGCAGGCTGCTGACCTCCTGTCACTTAACATAGCCAAAGCTAAACTGTTAAAATGGAGCTTACAATCTTTTAGCATAGTAAATGCTAAAGTGAATTTAACATTAAGCATAGTGTACACTAAGTTGCTAGCATCAGTGTGTTAGCATGCTTTGTTCCAGTCAGATATGAGATGTTTCCAGTTAAAACGTCCAACCTCTGAATCATTTCTGCTTGCTAATCAAGCTAATGCTAATGTTTTGTTGTGAACCAATGCTAAATTCAGGTGTTACTATCACATCCTGCATATTGTTTCAAGATCTTCAATTAGTCTTAAGATGACTAGTAATAAGTCATCAGTTTGTTGCCATGTTTCTCTTGTGGAAAGTTGGGTTCCACTGCAGGAGGTTAGGACTTAAAAGTTTGCTCCATTTACATTTCAGGGAGCTGATTTTCTTGTTCAGAGGGACTTGAATCACTGAGTAGGGATTTACTGCTGTGCTCAATGACTCAATAACACACCTCTTTCTGAGTTACTGCTGGAGTACGGTGCTGCTTCAGTTAACATTCAGTATTTCAAAATTTCTTGTCATAATTAATACATTAGTGTGATCAGGTTCTTCCCATTTAGTGCCATGACCATCAATTTACAAATCATCAAACATACAAATTCATTTTAAACTGACAGGGTGACAGTTTTCAGGTTTTTAGAGTGAGGCACCCTTGTTAAATGTAAAACATATTGTTATTTTGAATATATATTTTTAATACATTTCTAAAGTGGCCCTGATGATCAAAGTGAACATTTTCCCTACATTTATAATTTGTAGTTTTGTGAATATTAAATGCTGTAAAATGTTTGTAATAACATGATGGAATCCAATAAAAAGGCCCAAGTAAAAACTGTAGTTTTCCTCTTGTAATTGTTGCATAATGCTGAACTTTCCTCTGGATGAAGTGGCAGAGACTCATGCTGCCAGCTGGGGCTTATTTCTACTTTATTCATAAGAGAGTCTCGCATATAAACCTAAATAAACACATTTTGTAATAGTTTGGTTTTTTATGTATTCATTCTGTTGTCCATGTCATACTGTAACAGGTTTATTTTTTCAAATGTATGTGTGCCTGGAAATACAGGCATACTGTTTTTTAATTAAAAATGTTAAAAGTTATTCATTTAATTGTCTGTGCAAATGTTTTCTGGCCATCTCTTAAAGTACGGATTTGTTCCATTGTAGCTTGGCAAGGACCCCTTTTTAATTTTATGACTAGTAGCTTATGAACACACTGATGACATGTAATAAGCATAGAAGCAAAGAAGGACTAATCCACCGCTAATCTAATTTAATTTGAATTAGATCAAATGGTTTCAATCCAATGTTTTTTACTTTATTTTTAAAAAGTCTGTGTATAAGAGTTTTGTGCTGATTAGCAGAGAAACAAACATGCCCTCTCGTTTCTCCACTCTCTCAGAACAAAGAGCCAGAGTCGGCCATAAAAAGTCCCTTTAACAACAGTTTACTGCCTGTTAAAAAATATGGTACTAATTACCAGTGGTACTATGTGCTGATGGTCACCGCCGTGGTTGAAATCTGAACGGCACAATTAGGAGCAATCAGAGTAAGAAAAAAGACAGACAGTTTCATTTCCTCAAGCTTTATTATTTTTTTTTCTTGCATGAATGTTGGGGAAAGAAGTCAGTCTTTTACAAATCAAATCTTATCGTCAACAAGCATTTGCTCTGAATGAAAATGAGTAGATTTATGCCCACATTCAGCGACCGGCCACCAAAGACAGGCCATCAAGACATGCAGCTAGTCAAAAAACACTCAGCCATGTGGTATTGTAGGCTACTATTATCATTTAATGTCTTTTCTAATAGTGCATTTCAGTTTTTACCACGTCAAACATTCTGCTTATGACAAACTAACAGGCAAAGTGTGTTTTAATAAAGTCTCTGATTATCAAAGTTAATCTTCTACAGGCAAAGCTTGTACATTTAAGGAAAATACATTAGAGATCTATAACTACAGGAAAAAAAATTTTATTTTGGTCAAAAGTTGCTAATGTACAAAATACAGCACACCAGCCTCTATTCCTCTGCTCAATTAAAATTTACTCTCTGGAAAGGCCAAGTAGGGAATATATCTAAATTATGTCAGAAACATATCTCAATTACACTGTAAACATCTAAATTACTTCAGCAACGTAGTAATAGTGTCATCTCATTACTGCATCTTTTGTCAAATGTAATTACATGAAAATCAAAGGCATGAGTGGACCAAATTTAATCAAAAACATTTAGCAGGAGGCCATGAGAGCAGCAACAAACACACGGAGGGAAAAGGAGCTGCTACACGTCATTGACTGGAATAAACAGTTTTCCTCTCGTCTGCGCTCCCTTTCTTATGGCTCATTCAGACAATAGGCACACCGTAAAACTTCAAACACTCACAAAGAAGGATGGTGGGCTGAGGAAACAGCAGACATCAGCTGCAGAGAGGAAAGGACGGCTGGTCTCCAACAACGTCTGTGTCAAACCGGCTTCTGATTTAATACGACGGCAAGGTAACACGCAGGGTTTGTTAGATGTGCTGGCCTGATAGTGGTCTGTTATTAAAAATCTAATCTTGAAAATTAAGGAAGTTCCTCCCTGACCACAGCTGTATCAAAATACTCATGCACTTTAGAACACAACCCATCGCACTAAAAATAGCTTGTTATCCTTAAAAGAAATTACTACTAGGTGCTTTCACTCGGAGATGAATGCTATTTGAGGGTAAACAATAAAGAATTTTGCCCAAATTTAAAATGATTGGAAATCTCCACAAACTACAGCCATTGCCATCTTAAAAAACCCCATCAACCTTCAAATCAACCCCAAGAAATTAAATATTAATACTGTATGTAGCTGGGAGCACACTGATTTGTGACCAGCTCTATGAAATGAGAGAAACACAAAACACACTGTATAAATCCGTGACATGATTTGGTTTCAGTTCAACACGTCAGTGTGTCAGTATGATGCTGCGTGGACAGACATGGGGGAGTCAGGCAGGTGGGCTGGATGGTGGTGGTTGTTCCCGGTGGAGAGGTGGGACTCTAGGGGAAGTTGGTGGGGAAGAGGCTGAGTGGCTGGCTGTCGTTGGTGGGCAGAGGAGAGCGGTAGCCCTCGAAGTTGCGCGGGATGCTGCCGCTGGTGGAACCCGAGCTGTTACTAAGGGTCTCGATGCTGCCCTCCCTCTGCAGCTCTGCAGGGAGAAAGAGGGAGAGAGAGAATGTTGTGTTAGAGCCATGAGGTGATCTGTTTTAAACCACATCGAGCTGAGCTAATCAAACAGCAGAACGGTGTTTGCCAAATGTCCACATTCACAACTTGTCTCTGATGGATCCTTATTTTGACAGAAACTAAATGCCCTCATTATGATGGCTACGTATCAAACCTTAATTTTTGAGTATTAAACAATATGTATCCATGGCATCAAGTATTTGAAATCTGGGAAGCACCACACCTCCTGATTTAAGTCAAAACTTTCCCAATTGTGCTTATTTTATTTTGGCATGTTTCTTGTATGGCGGCTTGTGCTAAGGCATCTTTAAACATTGTTTGAGCAGTTTGTTTTGTGAAATTATGGGAAAGCTCATTTAAAAAAACATGTTTATGCTCCCCAGTAAGTAAAAATACTGCAAAAAAAACAACTCTTTTGGTATCGGTTGGTACCGAAACTCAGGTATTTATTGATAAGCTTAAGGGCAACTACTAGTGTCATATTAAAGAAGCAAAATATGTTTAAGCTGCGCTAGTGCCAACTGTGTATGTGTAAACTGTAACTAAAAGCTAAAATATTTTTCCTCTAAATAAAGTGGGTTAGATAATCTGGATGAACTGCTGCTTTACAACCTGATTGTCTGACTGCTCATGTTTCTTATTCCCTGGGACTACAAATGATACAGCAACAAGCATTTTCAAACAATATGAGACAAGTTTCAATTCACAAAGTGTACATGACAGTCAAAGGTGCACAGGACACTAAACATTTTACAGTATCATTACCAGATTGAACAGACAGCGGAAATAAAAAGGGTGATCCCAGGAGTTTCCCTTCTTGTTGTTACCATGAATTACTCATCAGACCACTGTGAACCTGCGTCTGTGCTGTAAGCAGAGGAAGTCCACATCTGTGTGATTAACCCACAGCATCAGTGGACATCAGTTATTCTGGGACACAGCAAAACTGACTCCCAACATTCTGTGGGTGACGCAGTGCATTCTTCTGACATGTCACGCTGCTACCCAGCCCTTCAACATCCCTCACAGAGGACTGACCAAGCTGCTCTGGTTCCATAAGGAACCTATTACCGTTATTACATGCTGTAAACCATATTGGTCGATATATGGACAGAATGGCGTGCACGTAAGTGGCAGCACAGTATTAAGACTGTGATGCATGTAGTGTATTGTGACATCCATCAGGAGTCTAGCTGTATTTAATCTGCTGCTGCTGCCTGGCTGCTCTGCTGACAGTGGTCGACGCCCTGTGAATATACAGCAGTGTGCATCCGTGACAGAATATGACTGTCATCAACAAATTGAGAGAAGGATTTGATAATGCCCGTACATGGGAACAAAAGTGCACATGGTTACTGCTACTACATGGAACATGCTCGTCTGGGCAGCACACAGACGAGGGGGTCGCTCACGTGGCTGGTTCTTTCATACTTGTATATACAACTTTTACAACCTTACTGTTTTTTCTGCTTTGCTTTGAACATGCCTCCCGACAGGAGTGCGATCAACCAAACAGCTTGTTTGATGTGCAGTTCTGCATGACCAGTTGAGTTTTGGTGTGTATGTCAGCTCCTCTGTTACCCATAACATATTCACAGAAGCATAATTCCGGCTTAATGTGCAACACACACTGGCCTTGTTGCGTAGTGTTGCATCATTTGACACATGTCATTTGACACCTGTAGCAGAAGACAGAAGAAGTAGGCAAAGTACAGCAGCTGGGATGTGTCAGGAAATTAATGTAATAAAACTGCTGCTTTTCAGGAGAGTCAGCACTGCTCAGGAGGCTGCGTTGGTGGAGACGTGGATTCAGGAACCGGTACCAAGATGATGACCAGATAAGTTTGGCCTATCAGCCTGCATAGAGTTCTATAAAGCTATAAGTTATCAAGATAGTGATAATTTTATCTTCTTCACAGAGATTGTTGAAATATGCTGTTAACATTACAAAGTAAACAACCAGCGATACACTGGTACATTACCTTGCGTTGATTAAATACATGGGTCTGACCACTACTTTGGTCCTCAGGAACCCAGTGTACTTTTGTTGCTTATTCAATTTTCATGTATACAACAGGCTTCACTGTATGTGAGGAGACAATAGTGCTAAAAGTGATACAAAGGATGGGCTGTTTTGGGGTGAATGAAAAAAAAAAATCAGTAATTGAAAAGATGGCCTGCATTAGGCCAGCTAACATTAAAAACTAGTGTAAATAAAGAACTAAAATGAAGGCTGAGATGCTCTCTGTAGCTGTAATCTATTTTGACCTACAGTTTTGTTCTGGTAGCAGTTTAAAACAGTTTCCACTCCTGGAGTTTTTACTGTGCCAGAATATCATGCTATTAATTCTTTCTACAGTTCGAGATGATGTTGACCTGCACACTGCTGTCTGTCAAAAACTAACTGCAGAACACATCAGTGACCTTGAGATGACCAGGACTTCTAATTAGCTTAGAGTCTTCAAATTCATAGTGCACTGACATTAAACCACAGCGTGTGTGTCCTGCAGATGTTCAGAAGCTAATATGGATACTGTCTCTGTCACGGAGGGCATGCAGGAAGTGGGAGCTTCTTACTTTAGCTCAGGAAACCTAATACAAACCACACTGTTATTATCCCAGCTAACACGCAATGTGCCACTCTGCGATGTTATCCCAGCCCGCCATCCCCCCTTCCACCCTCACCCCCCTCCCGTTTGATTTCCCAACACTACACAGGGCAGAAATGCTACAGTAATCCCCGGCAGAGGTGAGGACTGCAGGTTCACACAGCTCTGGGTTAAGATAATGTGTGGATTTATAAGGCCAGCACAGATACTTTCTTGGAAGAGCACTAACATTTTAACCCTACAGCTCTCACATGTCTCCACTGAAAAATTTCAATGTTACTATATACTAGCAGTTGCAACCTATAATAGCACAATAAACAATAAAAGCAATAATAATGTTAAAAACAAACAAACAAACCCCCCTAACAACAACATCATCATTTAAGAGGAAAACAGTACTGACTGTCCATTATCAGTAAACTGATAGAGTAGTCTGATTCTGCACAATTTATTTTTTCATATGTGTATATAATATTACGGCACACCACAATGCCGGGGTTTATCTGTAAGAATATGGGTCATCTGTAATGATATCATTTTTCCAGCCATGGCTCCAGGCAAAGAGACAAGTGCTGAAGCCTGAAGAGACTGAGCCTCGCCTCTCTGCAGGCCTGCACTGCTGCTGTTCGCCAACTCCTCAATGGAGTCCAGGAGGATCCAAGCTGATCTCTACAAAAATGCTGCACTGCCTCTTTTTACCCATTAGTAACTCTTCAGTTTCATGCAATCAGAAAATGATACAATGCCCCCCTTTTAACGTTCTTACATCACAGCATCTTTGCATCTGACTGTAACGGCCAGCCACTTGCCCTCCCTGCTAGCCTTTTTGCCAGCCCCAGCTAGCCCAGCTGGATGTGCACTGTTGCAGTGTTATTGTAGGCGCTGTAAGCTGCTGAACACCCCAGTAAAGCCCTAAAGGCCCTTTCTAGTGCTGCCTAATCCACCTCATTGTGTGACGCCTACCAGCTATTCAACAAGTCTTAACCTCTCACGCCCCCGACACAATCCCCCAGCGCTCTAATGTTGGGGATCTTTCCCTCTGGGGCTGATGTCACTAGGTAAAGTAATATGGTTATTTACAAGGTGGTTTTGTCCGGCGTGATGTGTAGATAATGCTGTTCTGGAGGGAGGCCAATGAAGAAACTGAAACTACTACAGGGATTGACTGATCTGGGCTTTTAAAAGATGGCTGATCTGAGCCAGTTGATAAATATTTTCTGCTAATATATAGTGGCTTATCTTTAAAAATGACAATTTCAATGCCAAAAATTATATGTATGTGAAATTAAATGTGGCTATTTTGGTTTTGGTTTTCTCTAGAGCTTTATTCTTGTAAGGGGAAACCCCCTCAAATAGCATTTGACTATTATTTGTATTATTTGTCACTGAATTAAATGTACTTGACCAAGACATGCATAGCCTAGCACATGTATAGCCTAATCTCGGAAGTCTTCCTCTGCTGGTGTTGACTCTGTGTGGCTGCTGGGACCGGAGCTGTGTTCTGCGATGACACCAGTGGCCGGACTTCAAAAGAAAGTTAAGTCAACGCGAGATAGAGAGTCAAAAAAGCTATCAGTAAAACGGCAGCAGATGCCACAGCTGGAGATAAGGGGTCAGGTTTTTCAGGCCAGAGTTGGAGGGGGGGGGGGAGCGGGGTCTTGGCAGTGATGAGGCAAGGAAAGAAAATATAGCTGTTTTTGGAGACGCGTCCTCACACAATCCGACAGAGACACATAAAACAACACAGCGGCAAGTTAATACCTCATCAGCCAATCGGTCATACAGAGGGAATGATCAGAAACAGTCCGCTCTGCACCCCCGGCTGTGAACAGGCCTCAATCCTCTTATGCTCTCACACAAACACACACAGACTCCAGCACGTTTCGTTTCATACAAAAACAAGCTATATCTGGTCTCAAATGCAAAGTACAACTAATACTGCAGCTGTAACTGAAAATTTGTAATATAGAACAGACTGACGATCATCAATTTATATTTAAACAAACTCCTAAATTCCTTTTTATTACAACTTGTTGTTTTTTAGTAGATTTGTCCATCATTCCTATCTGCAGAGATTGGGGAACACAGCAAGATCACTGCAACTAATATTATTTCGATTTTTAGGTAAATGCTAATCTGAATTATTTGTTTCGTGATTATTATCAATTTATTCAATGTCTGCTTCCCAGCTTTTGCCAGAGCTTTCAACTACATTTCACAATGTTTGTCTCACCTGTCTCAGTCTCACCTGTTATCACTAAAGTTCCATCCTGTACATGACGATTACACGTGATGACAACTGAGCTATCTCCATGAAAACAAAGAAAACTCCATCTGCTGAGGAAGAGATATT